TAAAACTTGAATATTCAATATGAATCTCATTAATGTCCTGAGAGTGAAGAATGACAACAGCCAGGGCGACAATTCGTCACTAACAAATTGGGATGATGAAAAATGTGGGGATGCTGCGCTTTTTCATCAATTTTAGTTTGAATGGTTTTCACTTTTTCAATCGTCCCTAATTTACGAAGCAAGAAGACGATGATTAATCACCAAGGGAATGCATTTAAAAATTCATCTTGTGGAATAAAGCTTTAATGAGAAAAAAATTGAGTAATTTTCAATATTTAATGGCATGAAAACTTCCGTCTTGTGTTGTGCTTTACGCTGATCTTCATATAATTAATTCCTACCGTGACTGTTGCGTGCTGCCTTGAACATTTTTGTTGGCTACCATAAATAAAAAAAAGATGGCGCCCATGGAAACGCATCATCAGGTTCAGCGACAGTAGAGGCCTGAGTGAAGCCTCCATAATTGAGGACGTTTTTACTGATGACGTCCCGTAATGATGCCGTCAGTCAAGGTGAAGCCCATGGCCAGACAGGTCTCGCCGCCTGCTCCTGTCTGATGCCTTGGTCTCGCCGCCTGCTCCTGTCTGATGCCTTGGTCTCACCGCCTGCTCCTGTCTGATGCCTTGGTCTCACCGCCTGCTTCTGTCTGATGCCTTGGTCTCGCCGCCTGTTGCAGCATGCAGGTGCAGGTCTCACCGCCTACACATACTTAGGCTGCATGCAATTTTAACGATTTTTGTCCGAAGGGCGTAAAATTCTTGACTCGTTCGAGGAATAGCATAATTATAGTATCAATTTCCTACTATCATTAATTTCTTTGTTAAATTGTATTTCCATACTACTTGTTTGTCTATCTTATTCGAAAATAAATTTATTACTCTCAGCTAATTACTCTCAGCTTATAATTCCGCAAGAATTCCACACATTTTTCTGTTTAATCATCGATGGCGTTATAGTCGCTAAATGAAACGCAATTATTAGACATTGACACGGAACTAATTTTCACCTGGTTTGCAATGATATACAAAAATTTGTGAACACTTTGAGTCACAGGAGAGACGGAACTGCTGTCATATTTACCTTTACTTTACTTCGCCCATTCTTGTGTTGCGGTGTCAAAAATACACGAAAAGACCGGAAAACTTTCGAGACTCACGTTCAGAGTCTGGCAAAAACTGAGGAAGCCTCAGCACTTGAACACGGTTTGTCGCTCCGATGCCGCTGTCGCGCCTCGAGGTAATCTCAGGTCTTGCTGTGATGGCCGAGGCTACATAGAAGGAAGGAAGGCAGGTCTTAGGCTGCTCGACTGCATCTCAATCAATCTGATATTCCTGCTCCAACATGAGCCAATTGCAGGGAAATTGTCATCGCGGAATCCTGTTCAATTGGAGATGAAATTGGGTGAGCACTTGGATGGCCTCGTTTATATGCCTCGTTCCTCACGAAAGAACAGATGTTCCTCTACCTTCACCTACCTGTCTCTTGGCTTCAGGTATAAGATGAGTCTTTGCAACTTCTATTATGCATGGTATGTAATCATGTTTTCAATTGTATGGAAAACTCTCCCTTTCAGCGAATATCATTTGAACACTTTATTACGTTCGATAAATGACGATTAGAATACACCTGAGCACTATTTTAGATATATACATATAACTTAATTCCTTGATAACCTTCCTTCTACGCCTGAAGTATTAAGTGATCTGAATGAAATTTATTCATCAATCTCTTTTTATCATAAATTTAGTTCAACTCCCTCCAATAATATTGCTCACCGATCCTGTACGGAACTAAAGCGTAACACTACAAGCTTATGAAATACAAGTTTTAATTTTTTTCCTGATGTAGCAGTTTAGTAAAATTTCACCCTTGCTATGAATTCTCGAGCCCTGACGCCAGAATGCAGCAGCCTCGAAATAAACACTCTGGACTTCAAAAGAAATGAGGAGCGGCGTCTTTGTAATGCTCTCGGCGTTCACGAGGAGCTGTCCGTAAAAACACTATTCGTTTGCCCTACAAAGAGTGATAACTTTTTTCTTTCGTACAGAGGGTAATTTAAGAGCAAGCGTTGCTTCAATGGCCGCCATTTGGCACCTTTTGTTTGGTGCCTAAAGCATTTTGTTTTCTGTTTCTTTTATATAGCACCTTGAATTTAATTAAAGTCAGATTAGGGCGACAGAATTCCATTTTGCCATTGTTAAGGATTCTTAGACTCACATTAGTCAGCAAAATTTACTTATTAATGACAAATATATTCCTATCTTAATTATTTTCATCTTTGTTTCAGAAAAAAAGAGTCGATGGTTAAGGAAATTAGACGGATTCCAAAAGAACAGAGATTATGTGAAGCGTTTACAATAAATCCTTAACAACTATTCCAGGGTTCAAAAGCTAAAAAAAAATCTTGCGTTTTCGTGTTTCACTTTTCATCTTTTCGCTCTAATTTTGTTTAAAAATATAGAAATAAAATTTTCTCCATTGACCGCTTTCCCTAATCTTCAGCTCATTCTACAGCTCATATTTCAATTCCTAATTAATCGTAGCGCCAGACTTCTAAAGCTCCAACAGGTTTCCCATCACCATCTCTGTACCCGACTAAGCCTACCTCGCTATATGACTGGAAGGAATTATACGCGATCTCAAGACCTGCTTCTACTAAGTCGGTGCAATCGTAAGTGTTCAGTTGGAGCTCCCATGTAATGCCTTGAAAGCGACTTCAGTGCTTTCCAATAGCGACCTAAGTTGAAAATGTGTAGTGCGGCAAGAAGCAAGCGAGCCTCCCTCGCAATGATTTCCTTTTGAATAGGTAAAGCTTTGCGATCCTATGGCCAGTATAAAAAAAGAAGCCTCCGGCGAACACTTTCCTTGGATTTCTAGCCAAAAATCTGTGAGCAAATGCAGCATGCCAACGGGATTGGGCTTCACGTGTTGCATGATTCAAAGACTGTGAGAGCAGGGAATGTGGACGGCTGAAAGCTGTTGACGGAAATGTTCTGATGTATCCTGATGAAAATTCAGAGGCCAATAGAAGCTAGTAAGAGGAGAATGTAAATTTTTCTTTTGTATTTCTGAATATTGTGAAGAAAATTTCCGACCATAAATGAGCTGATTTAAGTATCTGTGTTCTATCGGGTCACATTTACCTTTACAAAATTTGCTGTTTCTGCCATACAATCGTAAATTTTCAAGCATTTGAAAAAGATTAGAAAGCTGCTGTTTCACATCACGCACTGCGCAAGATTTCTAAAACTTTCAAGATAGCAAAAACGTCATACTCATTCTATTCAAATGGCAATGAGAACTTGTTAACATTTTCAAACGCGGAATTTTCCATTTCACATTCTAGCATATGATTTTTCACCAAAAATTATCTTGCAAATTAAAAAGCGTACTTACTCTAGTAAATCCATTCTCGTAAACGTCCACTCCACTTAATACAGAGAATTAAACGCAAACTCTCGTAAACGCTTGCTTCAGGAAATGCACACTCCCGTTAATGTATACCGGTACTCCTTCAATGCATACTCCCGTAATCGCATATTCCCCTTAATTCATAATCCCGTTAACGCATATTCCGTGACTCATATCCCGTGAATGTATTCCCTGACTTGAGTGACTTCAAACTAAACTAAATCATTCATTTTTTCACGCATAGCTCGTCGTGGCTGAAGGCAAGTAAATTCACAAGATTGCTTGCGTATTTTGCATCTGGAAGGCCATGAATCTGCCAGAGTTTACGACGGCAGGTGCAATTTAATTGCAGCCCGAGGCCTCGGTGAGGCGACAGGAGCCGAGGCTGCACAACAGCTTTCCCGGCCAAGTAGTCGCAATTTATTGGTCTGTTTCCGTTTACTGGAGATGATAGAACGGTTATTGGGTCCATAAATAGCACTACGGGACCAGTGCAGTGGCCGCTGATTAGGTCCACTTCCATGCCTTGAGAATCGTTACATCTGCTTGCCCCAGGAACAGTGTTGTTGCGCCGAGGTACATATGTCACAAATACAGACACAAAAACAAAGCGAGTTACTTGCTTATTGTATTATACAGAAAATAAAAATTTTCCATTTCGTACGTTCTCCACATTTTTTACTAAGGCACGCAAAATAAAAGGCACGTGTTAGGACCTGCAGCTCTTCTCAGCCTTCTGGCGCAGAGAGCAATTATTTTACAAGACAATCTTATTTGCCTGGGGAGCTTCACTGCGGCTTAGTTGGTCGCAACAAGAAGTTATTGCTGCCAAACGAATAGATGAACGATCCTGAATTTAAATTATGTTTATTTTCTGTCCAACTGTTTTCTTAACTTTTAATTATTGGTATTGTTCTACTGAATGGATGTTGTATGTTTCAAGCCTATCATTTTGTCAAAAATGAAAGCTAACTTTTACTAATTTTAGCTGAATGAGGTTTCATCATTTTGAACGCATGTAAAATGTCGATTTAAATGTTGGATTAATAATTTTTACATCCATCCCTCTACGATTATTGTATATTCATTTTTCTCTTAGTATAATTCATCCTTTTGTCGTATTTATAATGTCGTATTTTATATGGAATAATGTCGTATTTAATTACGTCGTATTTATAATGGAAATACTCTCGTTTCTGGCAATAATTCAATTATTATAGGCATATTTTCATTACCAATTAATATTATTCGTAATCTTCTTACTTAAATAATCCCAGTGTCGTTCTAAAAAGATTTGTATTACTATCATTAACAACACATGATTCATGCCCATGCCTCTCACTCACACTCCCCCATTCATGTGTGTTACAGAAGACACTGAGTACAGGGGTGCCGTGTATGCGGTCCATTATTAATATCATTAACAATATTATTCATGCACATGCCTCTCACACACTCCTCCATTCATGTGTGTTGCAGAAGACACTGAGTACAGCTGTGCCGTGTATGCGGTCCATTATTAATATCATTAACAACATGATTCATACACATGCCACTCACTAACACTCCCTCATCCATGTGTGTTACAGAAGACACTGAGTACAGGTGTGCCGTGCATGCGGTCCGACAGTCTGACGAGCTCCGAGCTCGGTCTCAGCCGCGGCAGGAGGCATCATTGCTCCCGACGATGGTGCTTCTGCCTGGTCCTCGCTGTGCTCTTCGTCGCCATCGGGGCAGCGGCCGGCATCTACTTCGCCTGTGAGTACATTAGGCAGTGTTGATTCTTAGGTCCATTCATTTTTTAAAAAGATTATTCCATGAATACAGCGATATGATTGTCTAACGGAAGTAAATCTACGTAATTTTATTTTAAAATTAATGGCCTACTTTTTTATAATACGTTTTTATATACGCTGGCTATTTTATCACAATGGTTTACGATAATCTGAATGTTACAATAATGAAAATGCTTTGAGCGCAGGCAATCAAAAATTGAAAGCTCGTTCATAATCGTTGATTAAGAATTTGTAACGTATTGTTTCTGGTAATTATAAACTTCTTGGGACCATACTGTTTCACCTTTATTTCTAATAGCTGATCAAACTTATCAGTCAAATGCACTGAAATCATTTAATTCATTCTTAGCACATGATTCCATATATATATTCTTGCGCCCTTCATTGGGCTTGTTTAGAATATGGCTGTTGTGCTACTCTCCCCCCTTTTGTTGTGGCCCGTTCTGTTCAAGGTATGAGTTTATGTTCGCAGTGTTCAGAGCTCAAAAGATCTTCAGCGACAATATTGAAAACCTGAGCAAATATTCTTACGATAAGGAGCACAAATAAAGAACTTGATTCACCACCCGCAACTTATGATAAATGGTGACGCGGACGAAGATTTTTTCTTAATATACTTACAAGAATTTCCATCACGTTCATAGGGAACTTAATTTTGCGAGCTAACTTTTATTTGCGTTGGTATACATTTCTGAACCTTTTCCTACTTTAACATTTTTCATAATTGAATCAAGCAATGCGTTCACCAAATAGATTTTTTCCAATAAGTGATTCAGCTGATCTGTTCAATTTTATTTCAATTTACTTATATTTTTTTATCAGCCTTGGCTTCTAGTTAACAAGTGAATATTACGTCTATTACATCTACATCTATGTTCAAGTACAATACAATTGAAGATTCCATTAAAAATTTTCCATATACATAACATTGATCAACAATAATCAGATTTGAATGTCTGCACCATCATTTAACTCTTAGTTTTCGATCTCTATATTCCTTAACCATTTTGAATATTTTTATTAAGATTCTCATTCTCTTTAATTCTCTTCTCTCATTGCCTTTCAATGACTTATTCTACAATGTTTCTGATATTATTTATCGTCTATACGCGTGTAGCAGCAGCGCAATATTCAAATCACAAGTCGCTCCGTTATAGAAGTCCTCTACGTCCTGATCTCGTCAAAGACGAACCCATCACATCGCCTTATTACCTCGCTTGCTCCCGCAGACCGCGGCTTCTTTCATCGCATTCTACAAGCGCAATTCCGTGATTGCATTTATCTTCCCTGTAGACTTTTATGGAAATTACGTCTTCTGGAAATATGATTTATAAAAATTCGATTTCTGCAAGATCATCGACAGAAGTTTCATCAGCTCCTTCGATGCCATTTCGAAAATTTTAATTCGAGTAAAAGGAAGCATCTATGATCCGTATAAAAATTTCTATGTGAACTAAAAAATACAGTCGGGTAAATTTATGTACAGGAAAGAGCAAATAAAAGGAACATCTATTGAGTAAGTATATTCATTATAGCAATATCCGTGGACTTTTGATATTTTAACAGTTCTTTCCGGTGCCATTATGATTTCATCTCTAGTGCGAAATCTTCGTTGTAGGCAACTTGATTACAACTCTACTTAACACTAAATCTTTAGGCGTCAATATTGTGTGGTAAATACAGCGTGATTACGTCCACATCAACTCCATCGGCATCACATGGGAGGTGTGAAGGCGACCTCATGTCAAGTCTCTGCCACACCAACTCTGAAAGCATCAATAAAAATTGGCGTTGGTAGCGTATTTCCAACTCTATGTCGCACCAACTTTGGAAGCATCATTAAGGAGCGGTGTAGTCAGCCTGATTCCTACTTGTGGCGGCACCAACTTTGAAGGCTTCAATAAGGAGCGGTGTAGTCAGCCTGATTCCTACTTGTGGCGGCACCAACTTTGAAGGCTTCAATAAGGAGCGGTGTGAGGAATCAGGTTCGCTGCGTTGTATAGGAGCCACGCGAGCGCTATGACCGGACAAAGCCTCTACTTTACTCCAGTCAAAACCTGCCACAATGGAGTCGGCAACTTTCGGCTCAGGGGTTTTTTACTCTGATTGATTGGACCGACATTGGGGGCGGAGGCGGGGACTTGAAGAGAAAGGGTCAAAGAAGCAAGATGGTTTGTCAAGACGCTATTGCAATGAATTTCTGAAAGATCACAGTCGTGTGTGTTTTTTGTGAGGCTTTGCTATTAATCAAAACATTCACGATTTAAAGAGCTTAACGTCGCTTACCCACAAACTTGTAAAGAATTGTCATCTAGCAATTCTTACCTGACTTTTTGCGTGTCCTATGCCACGAATTGAAAGTCTTCGTTGACTTGTATATAATGGTATTCTTGTTCAAATTGTCACTAATCGTCTTCCCATATATTGGAACATCCCGTCCGCTGCCTTAATTTTGCACCTCATTTTCTAGTTAATTTTGTAGGTGAATTAAATAGAGTGCAAGGACCGCCATCAGTCCATGGGTCATTGCTCTGCGCAGAGGCTCACACGGGCTGCCGGTGCGGCTCATCCTCCTCATTTATTGAGCTTAATCCTGATCCTTCTAATGTAGACCGCTAATTTACTTCAATTGTGTCAACTTTTTGCTCGTATGACTTGAGATTTTTGTTTAACTTGGCCTTACCTGTTCTCAAAGGCTGCCTTGCATTGGTGAAAAGCATTTTTACCCGAAAGATTTTATGTTCTATGATCAATTTTATGCCTAGACTTGGCGTGCAAAGTTAATTATGCACGGCGTTCGCTGATTAAACTATTAAAATCATAAAATAAACCAAAAAATATTCCGAATGACAAAATGTCCACAAATGTTTTCTGGCGAGATTTTGAATCAGGTAAATTAAAAACTTAAAAATGATGGGAACTTGTTCCTTTATTAAGATTATTAACTTGTTCCTCAATTATTATTAGGAGGTGCTGACAATTTGGAAAATGAGAAATTTGCTTCCAATGAGTACTTTCTAACGGTCATGATATTTGTGATACGTTAGTAGTCACTTATCCTTGAACGGTTGATGCGGTATAAGTTAAAATATGATCTACTGCTTTGGAAGATGACATATTGGCACCTGCAAAATACCTCCACGTGTTGATCTAGGCTTTTTGTGCGTACTTTGCTGTAAATTTTAATGTGATCTAATATGTGTATTTGCAAAGTCAGGATACTTTCCATCCCGGATATTTGATTGAAGAAAACTTCGACACCATATGCTGCACATCCAACAATAATATACTAAATATTTTTCTTCAATGTTCCTCATTTAATTAAAGTGTATTTTCCTACACTGTTTGGTAATCTGATTGATTTATGAAGCCCATTCCTGATATATTCTCTTAATTCTCCGAAGTTTCGAACTTGATTGAACAAATCTCCAGTACGCTAACTTGTTGTGGATGTTATTTCTGGAAGCAATTCAGCATAACGTATCTTTATATCTTCCACAAAGAACAGTTGAGACAACATAGCGGCCGAAACTTCAAAGTTAAATCTCGCCTCATGTCAACTGGGTTGCGTCAAGAAAAATATGGAGCTTCATTGCTCGTCTTGACGTGAAGTTAAAATGCGATTTCATTTTGTTTGTTCGGAGCTGAGGTCTCCCGTTGAGAGCCGTGACACCTCGCATTATTTGACAGGAAAATTAAAGCTCTGACGGCCCAAAATGCTTCCGAGCGTTCGCCCAGAAGAGCGCGTTCTCAACCGATCTTCGACGATTTCCTTCATGCAGAAACGAACCACGAATTTCTTTTATTGGGATGCTCCAAAAATGTCAAGTGATTGGCGAACGTGAAGCAGTAGAAGCGCATAGAGATCTTCTGGTCGGAAATCCTCCGTAGGCGAAGGAAGACGGAAACACTTTGTGAGTGCCAGTCATATACGAATGATGTGATCGAGGCATGAGTAAAAGAAGTATTTTTGTTCATTGTGAAAATCGACACTAATGAGAGTGAAGTCAGTGGTATCGGAGTAATGCATTTTTTACATTGGTAAATCTACCCACGATATTGCCTTAATGAACTATCCTTCTGCTCAGTTGAATTCAGTATATATTTCAAACATTTCAAGGACACTTCATTCATAAACACGCAGAAACCTTAATTTTTAATTAGGGAAAAATCATCAAAAATTCCTGCTATTAATAAATTCAATTCAAATCCCTCCAGTCTGATCGTGAACGTTCAAATTCAAAACATCTCGAAAATGTGATTTCTTTGTCTTTTTGAACACTTTTTTGTTCCTGCCCACAAAGGTTTCGTTTCACATTTTTTTTCTTATAATTGGGCACACTCTTATATCAAATGATATATCAATTCCGAAAATCTTATTACGCAATTTAAAAGTCAGTGACGCCAGAAACGAATTCGTTATCCAAACGTCTCGTGAATTAAGTGAGATATGGTCATAAAATAGGCAGTAAAAATAAACCTGTACAGAAAACGTGGAAGAAAAGATGACTATAACTTAAATATAAAATGAAAAGATTAGTGTAATATATACCTATCACACCCTAACACATTAAATTATAATCTTTTGATTTACTTTATATACGACACTCAAAAGATATTTCCATCAAGCACAAGACGTGCAAATTTTCGCCACAAGAGGTCCCGAACAAGAACAAAGCACCTCATAGGATGGGCAGCCCTGCTTGTTCTGGGGACAAGATGCCCAATTCTGTGAGTCTATGAGGGAATGCCGTCCATAATAGGAAGCCCAGGAATGCCTCCATCCTCTTGGCCATCTCCTTATGACTTTCTTGCACAAAGAGAAGAGAGGATTGCCATCGGTTTGGATTTCATCAGGCTTAAAGGGCCACGAGGTTTCAAGGTTGAAGTCAAGTCCAGAGGAGCGAGGTCGCGTATGTGTCATGCTCGGGGAAACCAATACAAATATCAATGTTCCCTGAATTTAAATAATTCAAATAGAAAAGGCCGCGGGATGGATAAGTATTGCGTCATTTATGGATAGTAACGATTTGATGTCTTTTTTGAGGATCAGATTCAAGACCTAAAGAGACCATTTAACCTTTGTAATTGTTCCATACACAGGTGCTCTATTTGTTCTCTTATCTCAACTTCATTTTATTCTGTGGCATCCCATTTTATCATTTCATGCTACATTTCTAAATCGTTACAACTTGTAGATACTACATATTACTCTACTGTTGAAAAAATGCATTCGGGAACTTTCGGTTTGTTCATTTCTTTATAATTTTTGTCTCCCTCATTTGCATGTCCCTTAAAAAAATAAAAAATATCAATAGATAATTCTTGTCCTTATCAGTACGATTCCTTACCTAGCTCTCAAAGTAAAATTTTTCTCTTTTTGCACACATCGTCGAAATTCTTGACTCTACTTATTCTCCAGCAGTTCTTACCCCACTCTCCGTTCCCATGACAACTCAGCTGTCCACGCTCGTTGATAGCTCGTTCTTTGTGTTGCATGAATCGTTGCACGCTGCGGGCGTCGCACGGTCTGGTGGCAGATCTCATCTTATTCAAGCTGCGATCGGGGACTCTTTCATTATTTGTGTTGCGTGCTGCATCGCGACCATCGCTAGGCTGGGCGCGACGCTCTGTATGCGTGTCGAGACTTTGCCCGGCAATCGATGAGCGACGGCAATCCCAAGCACCTGACGCTATCCTTCTTCGGTGGCGAGCACGCAGAAACAGAAGCAGGATAAATCAGAGTGACTCGCAGAGTTAATATTTTATAACATTTTTCCATGAATAAAATTTCAGTTCTTAGTGCTATTTGCATTTAAATGATGTTTAGATTGGATTAGCATCGGTACATAATGTGTTAAATCACGATAAACACATTCGCGAAAGATTTCACGGTTGTTTTGAGACCACAAAAGATTATGCTGGTTTGATCGTCCATTGGATAACGTTCAACAAGTGGAAATGTAGAAAAGTAACACCTGGCTTAAAATATGTATTTTCTCACGGGCCAAAGTGTGAAACATTTATTTAAAAGGTATCGTGAAATGTCTTTTAAAAATGCTGCATGAATCTTTCAGCTTTCACTTCAAGAAATGTTTTTCTGCGTTTTCATTGTTATTTTCATAACACTGATGCTTCAGTTTATTGTTCCTCAAAAATCCAAATCGGATTAAGGTAATGGTTCCCTAAAAATCCAATTATTTCTGAAATGATTTGGAAGATTACACTATAGCACTGAAGCTAAAGTTGTTTTTGAATCTTCATTTCTGATTTCTGATTGAAAAGGATCATGTCTCAGTTCATGAATATTCAAATTATGCATGTCTCTTCCTCCCATCAGACCAATTTTTGGGCTTGGAGCCCTCCAAGGTGCAAGTATTCAAGGGCAAACTGCGAGTAATGGGTATTGACAGAAGCATAACGTCTCTGAGGAGTTATGGTTTGAGACGAGATAATGGATCTGATCGCTTCAGAGAGCCCTACACTCGCAACAACCGCAGTAGCTTCAGCAACTTGGCCAGCTCCAGGATGGTTGCTAACAACTCCATGCAGGGACGAAGTGCGAACTCTTTTCGTGGTACCAACACGAGACGAGGGATGTTCGACCAAACCACTGAACAATTTGAAGCTCCGTGGAGGGAGGCTCTATCAGACACTACAGGAGAGGAATACCTAGCCACCCTTAGAGCCTTCCAGCAACGCATGGACCGCATCTACTCCACCTCGCTCTTCAAAGTGGCATTCATCCGATCTGAAATTTTAGCTCTTGACAGGTGAACTACCATAAAGACACCACCAGACGAATGACTAAATCGGTTTAAAATAATTTTTACTATGAAATGTTAAGGTAGGTTTTGGGTTGATTATGCAAATGGGTACTCCTTGGTCGATTCAAGTTTAGTTACGTACAGCATGTGCAGTAGACAAAAGTGTCAATGCCTAAAGTATTAGTTATTTTAGACAATGTAACAACTCGTTTATCATAGTAATGTCAGGCTGGATTCAATACTCATCAAATAGTCTTTTAAAATCCTAATCGACAACTCCTGCTTCAATTAACATTGAAACATACTAGTGTAGAACTTTTAGAAAGTGATCGATTTCAACCCATTTTGCAGAGGAGAAGAAGATTCGCTGGTTGTGCACTTCAATCTCCACATCGACCAACAAAAACTGCGCCTCGACGCTGCCGACCTCTACATTGTGCTGCTCTCTGAAATCCGGAAATCAAACTCTGATGCATTTGCTGGTCTGCAGCTGGACGAAGATAGCCTCGAAATTGAAGGTTTGTCAAAACGGCTCATTTCCCGTTATTTTGGATCTTGAAAAAGTATTTATTCATGTGATTTGAACATGGAATCTATCAGAAATGCATGATCAACTGACATGACTCTCAATCGTTCAAATTTAGCATCTCGTTTTTCATGTTCTCAGAGCGGATTTTGTCGCTGCAAAACGCATCGACAATGCCGACAGACTCCAGCATCCCAGTGCACACTGTTGAACCTCCCGGCGCTTCTTCGTTGGGTTCCAACTATCCAAGCCGTTTCGCGACCCAGAGTTCACGAGTCCTTGCCACTCCTTCGCCCAGAGTTTGCTCTAAGCTTGACCTCACGTATTGCTCGACGCTGCATCACAACGTCACCACCTACCCGAACCTCATGGGCCATATTGATCTCTCGGATGCTGAAAAAGATCTTGCGTTTATCAGGTATGAAATTTCCTGTGAAGAATGTCGTTACAAAACAATGTTCGAGACGAAAAATGATGCTAGTTTCTAACATAATTGAAATCATTATCTCTATAGACGAGGCGAGTGTGCCCACATCTAAAAACTGTCGTCCTTATTAGTTAAATGGTTTAAAATTTATTGTTTAACATTATTATTGTATCTATCCCCACTGTAACCAGGGTTTCGATGTTTAATGAGGAGTTCATTTATAAGAAAAAAATAATTTCCAACAATAATTTTCGTTTGAGTGTGTAATGGCAAACTACCTGCAATCCAAAATGAAATTAGGAAAATCAGCCGTAATAAATTACTGCTAAAAGGAATTGACAAGGAAGCCTTTCAATAGTGTGAAACTAAAATACCTATAGGGCTGATTGGTCTGAAACGTGACTCAATTGTTTTGTTCTTATTACCTCTATAGTCTAAATAGATCATGAGGCTGATTGTTAATCGTCTCAAAAACTCTCAAAACTAAAATTTTATGCCGAAATTAGTTCCGCTGTTTGAATATAATTCACAGAATATTGCTGCGATGTTCTAACATATGATGACATCTAGTTTAAACCGCACTCGCGTTGACGTTTTCTTGAGCAAAGCCTGCTTGATATCATCTTTATAACGTGCATCAACACTGCCAGCCTCCGCCGTGGCAAACTGAGGTAAACTTTTGCCGAAAAGTGCCACCAAGAAACAAAGGGAAAAGTCTACGGTAAAAAGCCCCAGACATCGTCGCTCATATGAGCTGTGGCACGCATATTAGCGCCTTTGCATGTATGAGGCACAAGACCGGAGACAGAGTTTTGAGGAGCCTCCGTCTAGTAAAACTGATACGTGGGATAAATGCTTGAATTAATTACTGAAGCAAAAAAGCTATACAAGATAATTTAATATGAGAGCCCAGATATGCAGTAGTTTTTAAATTCACTCTCTTCTTTTTAAATTCAATCTGTTTTTAAATTCAATCTTTCGCGTATATCTCCTACTTCTCTAATAATAAACCGAAAGCGTAAATTTACCAAGTTTCCAACTATTAGTTTGGCATTAACTGTTTTACGGAATATTACTCTATAACATTTTATCTGCTATGATTAGTTATATTCGACCCATTTCTATGCCACAGTAACTTACCTTAACACTGAATTTTGGAATTCCTTCATTTTTATGCTTATTGTCTTACTATGCTCAGGTATTTGACCCCGTAAATTAAGTGAGTGCAAAGCATTCTGAGTTTGGCGTACAAACAGTGTGGGAGCTGGCCTCAGAATTTCAGAATAATTAAATTAATTGTATATAAATGATAATGCTAAAATTTATGTTAAATAATAATGTATAAACAATAAAAAAATTATGCTATATATAAATACTACTTACATGATTGCGTGCAGGGAAATGGTTGACTCTTCATGCCACTCGCTGGCCCTGGAGTTCATGTGTGAGGTGCTACAGCCAGACTGCCATAAATTTTCCCAGCCAACGTCACGGTGAGTGAACCCTGGCAAAAAATTAGTAATCATATTTGTATGCTAGTAAAATATATTATTTTAATTCATAATATATACAATATATCTCATATTTTCACATGTATCCACGTAAAATTTCATTAATAGTGCGTGGTTCATTCCACGAAGGCTTTGTTGCTCTTTGCACTGGAAATATATGGGGGCTGACATGCAAGGCGCGTATCCAGGATTTTTTGTAAAAAACTTAAAAATTTTATTTTTTTTAAATTTCCAATCAGGAGTTGAATGTGAATTCCGTGCTGGATGTGGGTTGGAAGAGCTCGTACATTAATGAACGTATTTTAGTTTCAAAATTATTTTACTGGAATCAAGATAACGAGATTCGAGCTGCCGGGAGTACGTGTGATGCCGGGAATCGGGATGACGAGTTTCAATATGACGTGATTCGAGATGAGTTTGATGATGGGATTTTCAAATTACGTGGACTACGCGGGATTAACCAGATAGTTCATTTATTAATCAATCATTATGTGTATAGGATATCTGATGAATTTTAGGTACCTTGCTACTGCATACTGCACACTCTATTGGACTACGTAAATCAGGAGTTAACCTCGTGCCGTGAACGAGTAAACACACTATCACATTCAAAATAACATTCACAATTTCAGACTGATATCTTATTTGCGAGTGGAGTTACAGCCAGCAGACTTAGGGAAGAAACCACTATGAAGGCAACGCGGCCTGACCGCAGTGCACCATCCTCTTAATATCCCATTTTCGTTATTTATATTGAGAAGTCTTTTCTAGTGGTGTGTTTCTTTCTTCTGTCATTTTCTGTGCTTCACAAACATACGCTGATAGAGTTTAGATTTATCCAACGTGTCTTTAGATTTAATAAACACGTTTTCTTTGAACTAAAGTTTACGTCGAAGTTATCGCAGAGCATTTCATGAATAAGAGGCTCACCCTGAACATTAAATATAATTTTCATTCGAAATTCCTAGCGCTACAGAAACGTTTTAATTCTCAACTTGTCTCTATAGAATTGAACGAAAATATTACTTGTAAGTCAAATATATATCACCAATATCAATTATTTGTTTCCCTAAATCGCAAGTTACCCTAGAAATGGAAAGAAATGAAACCACCAGATAATTTTTTCCTGTTGTATCTTTTTTTCTTCCGCCTTTTTCTTTGCTTCACAAATCGACGTCGACACAGTTTATATTTATCCAACGTCTTTCCTTTTCATTTCTTTAATTATCAGAGGAACCTTTGAAGACGAACTCATTCCTCCGTGTCGGGATTTTTGCGAGGAGGTGATGGGCGCCTGCAGGACTCGGCTTCCTCCTCATCTTCGACTCAAAATTGACTGCGGAAAATTCCCTCTCTTCCAAGACGGCCACAAGTGCACGGCAAAACCTGGTACGAAATTCCATTTCAAAACCGTTACACGATGAGATGTTTGCTTTTGACTATTATGATTCACTTTTCCTAAGGATGCACATCTCTCTGTTTAATTTGTTTCGTTAGCGAGCTTTGTATTAATTGGTTCAAACATAGGTGAGGCTTCGACAATGTTCATCTCATTGATATATTCTGACTAGTTTAGTAATTTGATCTATGACTTTCGGTTATTAAATTTGCATGTTTAAACCTGTCACACTCACGTCACCACGTGTCATCACTCACGTCACCACATGTCATCATTCACGTCACCACGTGTCATCACTCACGTCACCACATGTCATCATTCACGTCATCACGTGTCATCACTCACGTCACCACATATCATCACTCTCATCACTCACGTCACCACATGTCATCACTCACGTCACCACATGTCATCACTCACGTCACCACGAGTCATCACTCTCATCACTCTCATCACTCTCATCACCCACAGGATGCTCCCGAGAGCTGCACCTGAAAGGGTGGGCAGAGCGCGTGTGTGACGGCGTCGTTGATTGTCTCGACATGTCGGACGAGGATCACTGCGCCTCCTGCTCCCCAGGCTCCTTCAGGTCCTTAGAAATCCATAGTTATCTCCATAATAATACATACATTATTTATACATAATTAGTTTGCATGAAAGCGATCATCAGGTGCGTCCCCAACGAGGAATAATTATCTCCAAAATTATACATACATAAGTTAAACAGCATTTTTTTTTTTGCATCAAAGCGAACATTTCGAGATGCTTTGAATAGGACCAAATCATTTCGAAATAAATTTCAAGTGTGTGTGATAATTATTTCGACCTAATAACTATACAAAATCATTAATGATGTTAATCATATCATATGAGTGACGATAATTTGAAATATATATTTAGGGCTTTAGCTACTAAATGTTAACCCCGAAGACAAAAATGGCAGGCGCTCGTAATCACATTCTATAAATAATCAATGGAAACATAGGCTTGTCTTTCGTGATACTTGTACTTCTCAACTGAAGTCCTTGGATCAGGAATATATGTACAACAGCAAATAAATATATACTCACCATGTTCGTTTATTTAAAAAAAAATTGAATTAACAAGTCGGTTGGAGCTGCGTTGTAGTGCTCTGTTCGGTCGCATCACTCGCGCATCTACCGACTCGCCACCGATGTTTAAATAATAAAGAATAAATAAATATTGTATGTATGTATTCATTACTAATTTAAATTGTATTTATAATGAAGCAATCGGAACACCTCAAATCCGCTAAACTTTGACGCAGCTTTCTTTAGTGCTGAATGTTACTAAAATATTTGATCATAAAACATATGTTAACTAATACAGGTGCGGTGGCGGGTCCCAATGTGTTTCTCAGGACCGCAAATGTGATGGCATCGAAGACTGCGCCAACGGCGCCGACGAACGCAGTTGCTGTGAGTATACCTATTACTTATTTATATCAATAGGAATTATAATACCAAATGCACACCGGATGGTTATTCATTCAACATTTTCTTCAGTTAATTTATGCAATTCGGAAATAAGTCACCAATATAATTTATATTAATGCACGTTGACAGTGATTAAATTTAAAATTAATATGCAACGCACAAATTTTCTATTATATACATGAGGTAGCTTTTTCCACCATTTGTTATCAGAGTCGATGGGGCTGATGACGTTACAACAATCAAATTTGTCTGCATTGTTGTCTTTAGATTTTTCTTTCATACAAATTTTGATTTTTTCAAATTTAAATGGTTTTTGTTCTCAACATAATGAGGACTGAGTCTCATCTCGGCTAGTTTTACTTCTTGTGAATAACCAATCATCTCCAAAATAAATCATGAATTCGTCTAGATATCCATAATATTCCATAATTCACAACTCCGCGATAAATTATTTCATTTTTATTTGATATTGAACGTAAATAACGTTCAGCTCAGCTATGCACCAACGAATTATTCGTCGTGAGCAGCCATCAGCTGTGCAGCATAAATCCGAGCTTTATCAGCCCCCCGGCGCGGCGTCAATTTAATGCACCGACAGTTCAGGCTGTGGGCTTGCGAAAATCTGCAGCTGCTTCCCTCCCTAGCATTCCGCCCTCTTCCGGTTTAAAAACATATTTTGAATTTAATCTCAGGAATCGCAATTGTTTCTGTCACAACCACATTTGTAGGTTAAATTGGAGTTCAGTTCTATGTCAGGTCAGCATTTATTTATGGTTTTTACACTAACATTTCAGTTTAATCCTTGATCACTTGCTTTCCTATCCACATATGGTGTGCTGTCGAGAATATTACAGACACATTTTTGTGGATGTTAGCACTGTTTTTTATGTGTTCATTGTATCGTAAACGTATTGTCAGTTTGGAGGTTACATTCACGACGAATAAGGTGGTTATTGATAGTTAGATGACGCATATTTAATGCTGGCACCGTTGGAGAAATGGAAACTTAAAATCTCTCGATGCAGAAACATCTAGGCAATTTTCACCACCGTAGCTGACACGTTATTAACCAAAACTCGACTTGAACCAAAGCAACGCAAGGTAATAACTAAAGCAAATATTTACTTAGTTTTCCGTGAATTTTGCAATTCCTGCGGCATTAAATTTCTCAGTATACTTTCCTCGCTTAGCTAAAAATATTCAGTGATCTTCAAATCCAAATTCTCACTGTAATAAATAAAAAATATCCATGACTTCTTGAAAATGACACTCCATCTGAGATGGGCTGATGCAGAAAAATCACAGGTTCGTTAATTGCTTACTCAGTGAATATATTAATTAATGCAACATTGTCCAACCACTGTGATTGTTCGACAGTAACATAGTTGTTTATATAAGCAATAAATTGCTATTTTTGAGCGTCTAAGTATCGCAATCTAATCATAGATTAATATGAAATAATAAATTTTCTAATTTTACCAAACATTCAATTGCTTACGCCGTCGAAACAAGTTGAACAAAGTCCTTTACTTGATTGACGATTCGATCCTCGTAGGATGTGTTGAACTTTTTAACTATAGTTTTTAGTGTCCTTTATCGCTCCGCTGAGGGCTTTTCATGTCATGAAAACAAGCAATCGACAAAGTTTTCTTGAGTTTATGGATTTTACGGAACGGACCGCGGCCGCGCGAGTGACGAAAGGTTGAACTATCACATCCGGAGCTAAAGGAATTAGCGTTGCACTGGTAACGTCACGAAACACTCGACATTCTACTTGTCTAAGAATTTTTGGTTAACAAATATGCTGTTTCGTGTAACCATTTATAAATATGAAGTGGAAATACTTTTTTCTTGCATGCTTTACTTTGACTTCTTTTGCATTCCATGAAAAGCTATATAATATAATATCCACGTGTAAATCTTTGGCTTCTCTAGCCACGTGTAAATCTTTGGCTTCTCTAGCCCCGTGTGAATCTTTGGCTTCTCTAGCCACGTGTGAATCTCCACAATTCTCCACAGGCTCCAGCGTCAGTTAGATGATGCACGAATTAGTTCATAGAGTATCAACATTATTTTTGGTCATGCAGAGCGCGTGTCATAGGAACATTGCAACGGAGTTTTCGACAGAATTCCAATCAGAGTCTCTTAACTCACTTCTTTATTGATGGCAGCTCTCTAGGTTTACCTGTTCAGCCTGAAAATTAGTGAATCATATTGTCGAAATTGTGACACACATTATGCACGCAGCTTTGATAGTCCATTTGTGAGCAAAACTACTCGTAACGCGGTTATCCTCTGAGCGATCTTTCTATCGATGCGTGACGCCGTGACTAATTTGTAGCTCTTTTACCGGGCTAAATTAACTTACATTGACCAACATAGGTGCAAAATGTACATCGATTTTCGAACAAACTCACACTCATTCCTTTGAATGATGTTTTAATCAATGCATGACGCGGTGACTGTGATGCTTCGACAGTATCGCTGACATCGACGCCGACCGACGAGTCTGCCCTGAAGGACCAGCGCTGGACGCGCTACAACAGAGAGGGGTTGCTGCGGTACACGGAGGCGGGTGACCCCTCACGCGTGTGTGTGGACAACATAAACAAAACCCTCACGACCAGGGAGGCCCACCAGCTTATCCACAACATGGCTGAGGTCACATGTGATCTACTCACTTATGGGTAAGTTCCGATCTATGATATAAATATTAGGATTATTATTATTAATGATAATGCTAATATTATTATATTAGTATTATTATTATTATAATAATATTATAATGAGAGATTAATAATCTTAATATTATAATACTAATATTATTATATTAGTATTATGATATAAATATTAGTATATCAGTATTAGTAAATATTGACATAAATACTAGTAATTCTTTCGCTTGGTTATGAAATTTATTTGATCATACTCTCATTTGGAGCTACCTGCAGTAATATCGGTATATAGAACAATTTACCTGATATTATCATTATTCTGAACTCGTGTTTCTCATTCATATATATGCTTACAAATCACAACCAAATATTACTTGTTTGTGAGGCTTAACTCTCTACAATATTTCATAATCAGCTTTAGTATTCTTCTTCGTCGATTTTGACCAGACCGGTAAAATGGGATATGATGCATTGAAGTATATCGGATCGAAAACTTTCCAATCGTTTCTAATTTTCGCATAGTGAACTTGTGCTTAGTTTTCCACGTAAAATTATTTTATACTCTGGTCCAGCCAATAGTCTTTTAATAGAAAATAGGAAATCGCATATGAAGGATCTTATTCGACATCATTTACATTAGCTTCGCATTTTCACTCCATTATTTCACCCTACGAAAAAAATATCCTCAGGCAAAGAGTTTTCGGTTTTTTTACATATTAAACTCTGTTATCACTTCCAACCAGTAGCCATTTTTACAGCATGTCAGCAAGAAATCAGTTAATGAGTTCAGTCAAACTTTCATTTAGAATTGCCCGCTCTGAAGCTGATCCTGGAATGTCAACAAAGGATGTTTTATAGAGTCAAGCGCAGCTGAGCATGGACATTCGTTTTAATGAAACACCTGAACAAGAGTTCGGACCTATGCGCGCTTCAAATATTGACGAATTAAAAGGTTTTTGACTTTACCCTTGAATTCCGGCTTCTTGTCCATGGACCAATTCTGCTCCGGGTGAGAATTAATACAACAGAAAAAAAACGAATGAAAATTTGTAATTTTACAATTACGGTGTTTGTGTCTTGACTTAGTAAGAAAATCTGAGTTGGAAATGTTCTTAGTATAAACTTGAATTTAAAACCCATAATGGTGTGATTTTTTTTCAGTTGCATATAAGATCCGTCATTAGTTCTGCTCAACTTTTATAAAAAAATATGCAAATCCAACAATATTTAGCTTGGATATTAAAAAATATTGGATACAACAAACAAAAAGAGATAGTTTTCAATTCTTTTCCGAGTTATTGTTCGTCCGTTACATGATAAATGTTCGTATCTGTGTCGGTTTATGAAGCGCCGAAGAACTTCTTTCGCAATAAATCGTTCCTCCTTAAGCGGGCGATCTTCCGGGTTGAGCTTTTGGGCCCGTACTTTATTCTTTTAGGCTTTTAATTGAAAATAAGAACCATCCATCGTTTCCGGTGATAAACTCTACGGTTTTTTGTGCCACATTTTTCATTCCTTCATGGTTTTTTGTGCCACATTTTTCATTCCTTCATGGAAGAAGGGTTTTTGCGGGATTTGATGTCTTGCAGTGACAGGTCTTCACTCAAACTACCTTTGGCTATTTACTCTAAGCCATGAGAAAAAGACATCCCTACCACCCTTTGATCCGCATAATTGCCGCTTTTGTCCAGCGCAAAAACTTTCCTCGGGGCTTTTGTCTTCAGCAAATGACTCTGCTAATCGAATTCGTTTTATCAGCGGCAATTTTGCAGCTCCGTTAAACGTCTTAAAGGGAATAATGCATCCATGACTGACTCTTGGATTTTGTTTGTCTGAATGGTAGATGGAATAGAATGAGATATATTTCATGCACCAATTTAAATGTTAAATTAAATGAGAATGAGTTATAAAGTCAGCACTGTTTGTGAATTATGAAATTAACTCATCACAATAGTGTTCGTAGCAGGGATTAGGCAAATGAAAAATTTCCTTATACAATTATACATGAGAATTTTTAAAGATTTAATAAGATTTACATTTATTTCCTCAATAAGAAGTACAAACCTGTATGTCTCGATATGCAAGATGGGATTTTCATTTTATTAGCTCGAGCTAGAACTACGATATTATAAAGCCTCTTGTTAGTCTCGCTGTGATACAAACACATTCTTGACGCAGCCTTGACGGCACTCTAAACTACAGAGAACTCAAGGTCTTAATAAGAGACTGGAAAATGTCTCACTCAGAACCCTCGAGTGAAGAGTGTCCAAATAAACTGAAAACCTCTCAAGCGGCTCAAGGATCTTAAATCTTCCATGTGACCAGATCACCAAAAAATGTCACAGCGAATTCTGGAGGAAGAGGAACTATATTTTCTTTCGCTTCTTGAAGTAACAAATTTAATTACATTGCGAGTATGTAGTAATTTTGTACATTGGGTAATTACTACGAATGGTTATAAGATAGTTTATTTTTTATTTCGAAATTTGAAAGCCAGATTGTTACAGAGTATATTTCTTTTGAATGAATAGATGAATTCACTAAGGAAACAAGTCTAATTGGTAGAATTAGGTGGGAATTAATTGAAATTGTTGAACATTTCCGTGATGAGTGACCTGTAGAATTTTCACTACAAAATATACCTGATTTAAATAAATTACTTCTGCTACCTTCATTTATTGAGTTTTAAAATAAATTCCAAATAAATAGATGCGACAAAAACTAAATATATCTGGACGGACTTCAAATTGAGTGTTTTAAAGATACTCGTATTCATTTATATATATTATACCCTACAAGCAATTATGCACGATGTTTGAATTATAAATACTGAGTGACTCAATCTTATCTGTTCAAGAAATAGCAGTTGATGCGTGAATTACGAATTCTATTAATTATTTCGTTGACAATGGACGTAGTTGGCTGTGCTTGAGTTCAGGCCGCTATGTGAGTCATGCCAGCAATTTGACGAGTTTCCTAATTAAAAATCTTTTAAAGGTCTTTGTCGAAGTTCTGAGCAAAGCAAGTCTCGTTAAAATCCCTGAGACGCCAATATTTCCGCTCGTGCATTTCTGTCTTCAATAATTAGCCAATCAATTTCTGCGACGAACATGTTCGCTCGCTCTGTGATGGCATTTATCCATTGAGGTCAATATCGATTTCTTTTGTCCACGTTTCGGATGTTCCTGTCTCGTTGATAAAAAGTGAACTATAAATATTTGACCGATCTTTGGGGTCTGCCTATCGGTCATTATGCACTTTCTGTTATTCTGCTTTTTGTTAATAACTTTGGAGCACTTTATGTATTCATGGAAAATTTCTTCAAGCGAAATTTCCATTGAACTCAAGGCGTAAATTGTAGATAAATTCGTGACGCAATACGTCGTGAGCCGAGAGCGGAATCGGTGCGAGGTGCCTCGACACAAGAGAATTTAATCTCACAAACTCAGCTCTTAATTAAATCCTGGATTGTTTATGCAATAGAGACAGCTTGATAGCGGCTTCGTATTTAATTTCGAGAATTTATTCGGAAATTTTCCCAAAGTTTAGAATTTGCTGCGGATCGTTGGCTGCCCTGCAGTTTAGGATGGGCCGGATTCTGTCTTTCCAAGTAGCACTGCGAAATAAAAAACGTTGTTTACAACATATTATTAGTGGATTTAGTTGAAATTCAAATTACTCAATAATGTTTTGTTGCAACCATGCACCCTTCATTCATGTACAATATCTAGGATAATTTCCAAATAGAATTATATGGTTGCTTGTACAGCTATAATCACCTTGCTGCCAGCAATCATTGATATATTCAAGAAATATATCGTCAGGAATTTCGGCCTTGGTTTACATAATTGTGGCTCTTATTTTCTCGGTAATTAAGAATCTGTGTTTTGCCTGCTGTTAGCCTACTCACCCTTACATCCCGAAACAACTATAGAATAATTTTCAACGCGGTGTAAAAGAGTTTTTATCGTTGCAACTTGCATAAATTATCATTCATTTCTTTTATAAATTTAATCTCCATTCACGTCTAATCGCAAAATTAGAGCATTCAATGCCACATAATCAAACATGAACGCTTCGGCTCTGCTTTCTCATCCATGAGCTTTTCGTTAATTTCAATTTAATGAAATTACGTGACCAGGCTTCGAGCAGCCAACCTTTGAATATTAATGTCGAGCAGCTGCTACCTTCTCCGGTGCGGATATTAAGTATTTAAGCGAGGTTCTCTTCACTCTCTTCTGGTTAGTTACTTGTTGGGTTTGATCTTCACGAGCTGTGATGACCATCACAACGTGGACCTGGAACGTGTTCTTGCGAGCGCAGCTGGTCGATAGAACGCAGAATATCTTACTCATTTTCAACGTTTAATTAGCTTCTTGTTTTGCTTTTAATACCAACTGAGCCGAAATTAATTTGTAATTCGTGTGGTAAATATTTGAATTTGTAACTGAATATACCGAGACAGTTAATTGCATTGTCGACCATGATTTACATATGGAAATATATATTCAACCTGATTTAGTTTTGAAAGATTTTAATATCATTTTCAATAAAAGATTCAAGTGTCAAATGACTTGATGACTTTAATCGAATTCAACATTGCTATGTTGAAACAAATAGTTTATTAATTTTTACTGTTGTGTTCATATATTATCTCTTCGGGAGTTCCGATTCAAATTGAGAAATCTTGAACCACAGTTAAGAAGCACTCATTCGTATTCCATAAATACATCCATTAACAGTATCAATATTCAGATTGAGATTTCATTAGATTTTATTGCTTCAATGGAAGCTAAAGTTCTATTGTATTCAAAATCTCGTGGACGGCATCGCTGCTTGCCGAAGCGAATTTTGATTTATGTAAGGTGAGTCTACGGAACGCACACGCCGTGTCTTACGCGGCCGAAAAGCTCAGTAGTTGGGATCTTTTTCTTGTGCGGCCAAGCCCAACTTTGCCGGCCTTCTTTCGCAAAATCTTTGTGGAGATTAGAAAACTTTTCTGGATCCTAAGTGTTTTTGTATGATACCAGAACGCCACGCAATTTACCTGCCCCAGTAACCTTCAATAGGCACATAGTGACCGTGATATCATACGAATAAATGTACATAATACAATGTACATGTAGCAGTTGATTTTAGTCTGGATTATTATTCTGGCTTTGGCTTTGCCAAACAAATTTCGTCGGGAGAGAGTTAAGCCACGCAAATATTTGACTTGCGATTTTGCGTTTTCCGATATTAAATTCGCGCACATCAAAATAAACTGCTGACTGTGTATATAACCTTCTTTATCATGATGATTTTTTTAAATTAATCTGAATTCTGAAGAATAATGTTAGTAAATGAATAATTTGAATACTACCATTAACATTGTTATACTCATTTAATCTCAGAAGTAATAGAACTATTGTTATTATATTAGCATGCTTTAATTTCTCTTGACAGCAACGCAACTAAATTGACTGGGAATTATATTATCTTAATATAGTTTATATTGTTATCATTTAATTATACTAATTTGGTATTATTAATAAAGAATTACACCGAAATTGGTTGAAGAATGCACCAAGAAGAGGAGGTCTCAATACAAGCTTTGTGGTATTTTTATCTTCTTATTGCTTTCAACCCTGACTTGATTAATGACATTGGTTGCAGAGGCGTGGACCTGGTAGAGGTTGTTGTGGAGGACGGTTTTGACCACGTGCCGGGTCTGGGGTATGTCCAGATAAGTGACGTGCATAAAAGCAACATCACTTTTGAGCGCGTCAACTGTACCAAGCGTACAGTCGTGTACATGGCCTGCTCCGAGCTTGGTAAGTGAAAGTAAAGATATATAATTGTTATTCATTGATATATGTCATTAAACTCTGTGATGCTTAAATAAGAAATAAGTATAAATTATGTTTGAATATTATATTAATAATGCAGTTCCCAGAAGTTTCATTTAGATTTGAAATTACCTTATCCTTGATATTTTATGTTCTTTTTTTTGCATCATGGATTGTCACTGTGACATCTTGTGATTGTAAATTATTTTATCTAGTGTTTTTACGCAGTTTCAAAGATCGTTTACTGCATTGTTTGTGAGCATCCTAAATAACGTATTCACAGCCACATTTTCCGGCCGCATTATCTGAAAGCATTCAAAATTTTTCCAAAATTGACCACGTTTTTACTCACCAGCAGCAATGAGTCAGAACCTGCACACTTCATTATTTCTCGCCAGTGCTGAGATTTATCTTCCTAAAAAATGTTACCACTCACAAAAACGCAATTTAGACAATTAAAAATCCATTCAACTTAATTACAGTTGTGCGATTGCAAGAATAAATCTTGTTCTACACCTATTTCTAAATAAATAACTTCCCGTTAAAAACTCTGCAAGTGTCAACCATGTCTCAACGGTCGTGTCACGGTCGTGCAGCATGCGGCGTACGGCCGCTGTACCTCAGCAACCGCGAGCCTGCGTATATCGACCGCGTGGCACGGACGGCCGGAGCCGGCGATTGGCCGTGGGCGGCCGCGCTGCTCAAAGACGGCCTCCACACGTGCGACGCGACCCTGGTCCACCCAACATGGCTGCTCACCACGGCCAACTGCTTCAAAGGGTGAGTCTTATTCCCAATTTTTAGCGCATTTTCTCATTTATGGAAAAAATGCACTATTGTGCTCGCCATGTCCGTCTGTCTGTCTGTCCGTCCGTCCGTCCGTGACCTCAAGTTTTCGTCGACGAGAAAATGTGCTCTCTGTCACTCACTGCAGTGAGTACTGAGTTATATTTTTTAAACTACTCCAGATTTTGTAAATACCCCAGATTTTATAATGTCCTTAGATTTTATAATTACCTCGGTTTTTTAATTACCACAGGAGCTAATTATGCAGGCACTAATTCGCTGGTGCATGCTTCACTTAGCCATCCGTAAGGCGGATACAAATGGCTCGGGCCCAGCAATTGATTCAGCTAATTTAAGAAAAGATTGTCTTGTATTCCGAATATTTTATACAAATTAGTCTCAATCTAAATAGGTGTTAACTAACCAAAATTCTGCATTAAAGTCGAAAAGAATATAGCTGTGTTTGAACCAAAACCCGTTGAACGAGATAGCCATACAAAATAGCCGTACTTTATTCAAATTCTATTCATGGCCACCCATTTGTCACACTTGAGTTTTGAAACCCCTCTTTAACATTTTCCAAGTCTAATTTGCAATATTTATCCAATGCTATTCGTCTTTGGTAATGAACAAGAATTATTTTTATTTAATACAAATTATTTACTTCTGCTCAAATACAACTGTTTGAAATTCTGTTACCTTTAAGTCGGGCTGAATAGTTATGAGATCGTATGAGAAATACGATTCATTATCCCATGCACATTTAAGTTGTTAACACGTACTTGTTTTCGTTCTTCATTATAGTTATCATCATAAGAGATTTAAGAAAATTTATACTCTAAAACACTTCCCTAAATAAATAGTTTGATAGTTTGTGTTATATGTAGCAGTATATCTTCGATTCGTTTGTTGGCCGTGTACTGTAGTAGCGTTGTTCAGTGTAGTAGTTTTCTCGATAGCAAAGAGCTTCTTCCGTTGGGATTCGGATAGAAACTAATTAGATGTTTCAATGTGTAACTCTCCCAAAGTGACTGAATTATAGGATAAATATGTTAATTTTAATAAAAAATCAGTTACTTAGTGATTATTTAGTTGAATGATTAGAAAATTAGTAAAAATATCTATGTATCGTGCGCTAGTTAAAAATACGTGCAAAATAACATCCTATCAAGTAAGTAAGCGCATCATAACTAGCTTCCTATCTAAACTCAACAATATTAATTCCCGTCTAAATCCTACCAAAGTTTTAATTTTAAATAAATAAAGCTAACAGGGCTTATGGGTTGTTGCATCCGTTTTCCATCAGTATCTTGTATCGTTTCAACATTGATCCGCTTATGCGCAGGCTATTTTTAACGAAGCTATTCGTGCAGTTTGTTTTACCCTGGTACGAACATTTTGAATACATTTTTTATTACAGAAATTAATTTTTTATTCAAAATACATTTGCTCAGTTTTAATCAAATTCTCCGATGTTCTTTTGCGAACTTCAATTTGTGATGCGAGATCTTGATTTTTTCCAGATTTTAAACATCATAAAACATGATAAATGCACAGAGATATCATAAATACAAAAGCTCATCCCAAGATTACAGTATTTTCATGATTAATTCGATTACATTTTAACTACGGATACATTTCTATAATTTGTTTATTGTTTTGTGGATGCTTAAAAGCTGTTTTGCAATATTTGCAAAACAATTCTGATTCACGGGAGGAATCCCAAGTAAATGAACACGTTTTATACTCTGTACTTCATTGCAATTCTATTGATTTTTTTCACGCTTTTCCTCCTAAATTAATTTACAGAGATTTGGCTCACCATTTTTTTCATCCATTTTCTGACACCACGCCAGCACATCCACCTTTTAAATAAAGTTTTCAGTTTCGTGGACATTTTCTGACGATTACTTCATCTATAGAATCTTTATAGTATTTTGTGTTTGCTAAGAGTTTCTTCTGTAATTGAATTATTTCACCAACGTTTCGGAATTGGATACACTCTTTTTTCATGAAATCTTTGGCTCTTTTTGATTTTTCTATCCGCAATAGATTAAACAACTTGCTATTTTGAGTCCATTTCAGGATATCTCTGACTCGTTTTGAATCATTTAACAGAAGTTAACTAATCGACTTGTTATTTCGAGTCGAGTTTTTAAATATCAACCAAAGACAACCCATAGCTCTTGATGCTATTTCTCTTCATTAAGCCTCGTGTTGCCATTGCAGGAATGTTCCTAACCGCGGTCCCCTCAAAAGAACTGCTGAAGGGTGAGATTTCTCGGAGCTCGTTTTGCCCTGCATCTGAATGCCTTCCACTTTTTCCCTGTCGATGATTGTTTTTTGCGACTCTATAACATTTTTTTGCATACAAGCGAAACATTTTCTAAGCTTTACAACAGGGAAACGAGAAAGTTTAATCAGTCCGGATTTTTAACTCCTTGCAATTCACAACGGAAGAACATACTCGTGTTTTACAACTTTTTGAATACCATATTCATTTCAGCTGGCAATAACACTTCAATATTTTATCCCTTTGTCGCTAACTGAGGACCGATCGAGCATCCAGGAAATGTTCAAGCATGAATATTAAGTCGATATTTTACCCGATAATTATGGAATATAATCATAATTAATAAATGATACATGATTTCTATGGACGTTGAACAAAATATTTTGCTTGTTTAGCTTCAACTGAAACCCGATGATGTTAAAGGTTTTTATTTTTAATTCTCAAGCAGATATGACGATAGAAAATTAGTACAGTGCATGGGAAGGTGTTTTTTCATGCATTAGATAATAAACGCTTGAAATTTCTTCAATATTTTCCACCCACTGTGTTAGAATTGTAAACTCTCTTTGCGAAATCGTTCGACAATCACCCCCATATGATGAAATATTTACAATATACCTTAGTTTTAATACGATAATTTGCCAACTGGCGGAATAACTTCTGTTCTGAAAATCTAGATCGGCGTCACGAGTACATATATCCTTTTACATATGCTGAAAATTTATGCTGGCTTATACTTGTGCTCAACCAGCAGGTCTTTCGCACATGATTTAATTCTTCAAATTTCATAATTTCAATGAAGAGATTGTTGAATATTGACGTATATCCCTAGAGTTTTCATGAAGAGAGCTATAACTTCTTGACGTCTCAACTTCAAGTATTCAATAAAAAGAGATTCAATAATTGAATACCTCAAGTATTCGATTTTTACTGCTGACGTTTAGACTCAATTGTTTCAATGAAGAAAGCTATTTCTGGTTGACGTCAGTCCCTGAAGGCCTCAATAACAAGAATATCAACGTCTCGATTTACAGGGTTCTATTAGGTGAGCCGCCGAATTCTAGCCATCAGGATTTTTATCTTGACGTATTTTCCTATCAAAGAACATGGCTGGCTAAGTAAATAATTCAAGATTTCATACATGAACTCGCGTCAACTTAGCTACTTTTACTCACTCTTCAAGCATTAATATTCCCATCCTAATATTCAGTGTTTGTCGAGTTTAGTAAAATATAGTAGATCCTCCTTTCCTTTCAATCCAATGCCCTGTACATAAATAAATTCCCTATTTAAACAGATAGTTTGTATATAAATACTGTGAACTCGATTCTCTTATCCCTGCGTTTGGATCTTCCCTTCATTTACCGAGACATTTCTTGACTAACCCTCCCGTTGAATGTCCGTGTTTCTTTGCACATTGTCAAGTTTCATCCACAATATCCTTGGATTTTATTCCAATTCTTGGATTGATGTTGTTTCGATTTTCGTCTCATGTAATCTGTAAATTTTTTCCTAAAGATACTTTTAGTTATTTTAATACTTGAATGCATTAAATTATTTGTTATTCTCATTTGCACTCATACCTTGTATTCGATTTTATTTCATATATGGATTTATATTGGTTACTTATAGTTAATTGTTCACCTTGCGAATATTTTAAGTTTTAATGAATAAAACAAAGCTTCTGACCATTTGCCAACGTGCAGGGTTTGATGACTCGTGTTTTTGGCTGACCTGAATTAGATAACTCTTGATTTATGTTGATTACAGAACGATGACTCGGCCCGTCTTGCTGAATTGAAGGAGAAACTCGAAATTTGGAAATATCTGCAAAAATTTTGCAATTCTGTCCGATATGAGGAAAAAATTAATGTATTTTTAACTTTGCTAGAAAAATATTACTCAGTTTGTGTTGCCAAGCTTTCGAAGATTTACTTTAATTTTTGTCTTTTCGCTAGAGATAACTCGCAATATTTGGTCTGTTTAAGAAACAGAACTTATAATTTGTTCATCAATTTAAAGGCGATAATTTAAGAATGAGGAAGAAATCTCGTAATTTTGCGTTTCAGTTCATCTTATTTGTTGCATTAATTTTAATGAAGATATCATGATTTTAATCCTATTCTACGAGGAGATAACATTCGATTCGTTTGTTAGAAATTTTGATTTTTATAATTTCGTGGCAAATTCATCTCATCCGCTAAAGCGCTTTAGTAAACCAAAAATTCTGTTTAATCATCTCCAGATTTTCATCGAAGTCCTTGTCACATAAAATCTGCATGATGACTGAATTAAAATCTCATTCTTCTAAGCTTAGTTTAACGTTAACAAGCAAATCAAAATTCAGTGAAAGTTCAAGTAATATTACATCCCATAAGCAAAATTCATGTCTGTTCGACCTGAATGAACTCTGTTGTATAAGCCAGTCGAGATCTGGTGATAAGCACTAAAATTGAATTAGAATATTAGTCTAACAGGTAGCGCAATGTTGGACCTGATCTTTCAGACTGATCGAAGAAGAACTTTCAAATGAAATATTTCATAGAGAAAGGTCATGAAATATAAAATTATCGTGATTACAATAGTATTTTTAAATATTTTAGAACTAAATCTAATGCTTTCCCATGAAACTTTTATCTAATGTTGATGAATTGTACTTTGAAGCACTGAGGTTGGGAAGTATTTTTTTAAATGAGCGCTAAAAACTTGAAATCCTAATCTTTTCCAGTTGTATTGATGTAGTGTAATCTTGAATTACGTTTATCTGTTCGTCAAACATGACTGGCGCGACCTGTATTCCGAACCTTATGCGATGTTGCAATTTGTTATTGCTTAGGCTGTGGTCGCACGGCAGTAAATTCAACTATACATCTGAAAGCAACTCCTACGAGGTGAAAAATTTGCAAATGAATGTAAAAGTCTTGTTTAGCGAAGCATCTCACCGAGTTGGAAAGAATGCGAGAAAATGAAGAGTATCATTCCAAGCAGACGACGAGCATTGTTCAGTCAGGACTCTGATCTTGAGCTCATGCCTCAAGGGTTGCTTACTCTGAAACATTAAAGAAAAAAGCCCGACCTTGCATCGTTTCTTGCAGAGAAAGAAAGCAGTGGCACGCTGTTAATCAAATCTGATGCTCCAGAAGAAATTTAATCTTCTCCCTCGTCTTGCTTTAATAAGAATGAGTGAGGCCTCCTCTAGGTCCATGTGCTAGGGTGTCTAGCTTGCGGTACAACAGGACACAAAAACGTCGAAAAAACTGACCTTTCTCATAATAAATTTCCCAGCAGTAGTCGGTTGATTCGACCACAATTTACCTACATTCACTGGAACGAAAAAGCATCTGATTTATTCGAGAATACATCTTATAAAATCAGCGAAAATGCGAAAATTGCCTTGAAATATTATGTTTGGGAATCAAATCTATCCATTTTTTTATTACGTACATCAAACAATATTACCGCCGAAAAAACTTTAGTTGGCATTTTTTTCATTTAACGATCAATTAATCAGGCCAACGTTCAATAGTTTGTGTCAAGTGGATGTTCTGGATTGTTTGCTAGACTCTCACTGAGTTTTTATTCGCAAGGCTCACACAAGATTATTTGTTCGCTAGACTCACATTAGATTATTTGTTCACTAGGCTCACAGAAGATTACATTTGTTCGCCAGGTTCACACAAGAATATTTGTTCGCTAAGCTCACAAAAGATTATTTGTTCGCCAGGTTCACGCAAGATTATTTGTTCGCTAGACTCGCACAAGATTATTTGTACGTTCGGGGCTGAGTGTGGATGAGGGTGGAGGGATGTAGCAAGTGCCTCAATTGCAGGAAAACACGCAATCGTCAGCCAAACGAGCCGCTCGTCTTGGAAAGTAAAAATTCAAATCGAAAGTTCAGATCATGGAGTAACGCTCGTGTTTTTTGTGTACACAGTCAACTCATTTAACGAAACCACTATGTAACTTTCACCTGTCGAGTAACTGACACCTTCAAATGACAGTCTCCGTGTGACTGTTGCTGAGTAGATGTGGTCACCCGGCAGTAAATTCAACTGTATACAATTCAACCATACATACGAATATATACACTGTGTGACCGTCACTGTGTAGCTGTCAGTTTGGAGTGATTAGGATTTTCCGCAATTTTTTTTTTTGTCTTTAAAATGACTTCATATAATTGCAGTTCAGAACTTAAATTTTCGTCCCTGAGAATTATAATATGAGAACTTTAATTAGATTTTCTCTTACCTTCATGAATGTAAATGAAACATTTCAGAAAAAATATAAATTTGGAAATTAGTCTGAATACATAGTTATTGTAGACTTTTTCATATATATATTTTGCCCCAGATTTTCTGATTATTTTCCTGCTACAATGTCAGCATTTTATTCCAATTGACGCATCTTTTCATTTCTTAAAAAATTTTACTTGTGTTTTTGTTTATTAACTGCATGTCTTTCGTTTTATAGATGCCATTCACTGCAGTTTCCTTGAATCTATGTGTTCGTCATGTATTTTTCATTGTAGTAAGTCCATGAAACAAATTACGTACAACCTTTGAATTTTACCCAACATTTCATATAATTGATACATTCGAAAGTTCATATATTTCTAAATGCCACTCATGGTACTATTTTAACTCCATGGAAAATGGCTTGACTTGAGAATTTGCGTTCAATAGAAAAAAACTTAATGGTATTAGTGCTTCGTGTTGTATTGATTGTACTTTCTTATACCATGCTTCACAGTGTCAAGTATCAGGTTACTTCCATAATAAACAGCCGTTTTTTCCCCTCCTGTTTCTGCCTCGAATTCGAAATAAATTATAAATTTTAAGTGAATTGTTTGCCGTGGCAATTAGGAATACTTGTTGCACCGTAATAAATAATGTATTGTCATGCTATTCCAACGAAATATGTCTTTGAATTACTAATAGACTATTATGCATTTTTTCAACACAGACTCTTGCAATTATTCTCAAATGCTGATGAAAATATTGTGATGCAATAATAATGTTGCATGATAACATTGCAATGAAATATTATCATCATATTCATCTTTTTGCTTCGAAAATTCGTCGTGAAGTTAATCTTCGGAGTAGGAATTTTTCCACGATTTATCCTGTCACAATTGTACATTGTACAATGATCACACTATAATGTTATAACTTTACTATCTCCATAAAACGGTCACAATACTTTGACTTTCTTCACACACATTCTTTCCTCATTCTCATGCTTTACTATGGCTTCCTCATACGCACAAATTCTTTCCTCATGTTTTACTATAACTTTTGCTACTCACCTTTATGGCTCTCCCTTTTATTTGTTTATATTTAGGTTATCTGTATTTTGAGTTAATTTTATTCAGGTTCACCTTTATGTCAATATTTTGAAATTACGTTTATACTTCTTTCATTTACAGCATCTATTTTCTCAAGCCGGTCCTTTATTACTTCACTCACTATTATATACAAATGCTGATAACTCCCCCGCTCGCCTTTCACTCACTACAATTAAATCCCTCTGTACTTTTCTCCAAATCCAGCCCATTTGTACTCACTCCCATTTATGCACACTTGTTGTGCACAATTTGCGCTCTCATCCGCCGTGGGCTTTCTTCTATCGTCTGCACCACGTCCCCGTGACATGTGCCCCACGTCCCCGTGACATGTACCCCACGTCCCCGTGACATGTGCCCCACGTCCCCGTGACATGCGCCCCACGTCCCCGTGACATGTACCCCACGTCCCCGTGACATGTGCCCCACGTCCCCGTGACATGTGCCCCACGCCCCCGTGACACGTCCCCCACGTCCCCGTGACACGCTCTGCCCGCAGGCACGGCCGGGCGCTGTGGGTGGCGCGTATGGGCAGCGTGCGTATCTCGTCGCAGGCGCCGTGGGTGCAGGAGCGACTCATCGTCGGCATGGTCAAGTCCGTCGTCAAGGGCAGCCAGATGGTCCTCGTTAAGGTGAGTGACGCGTCAAAATTCATAACAAACGAATAAAATACTCTGTATATTTTATAATCAACTTTTAATTCTCTTCTCGTACTTTACTCTGAAATTTTCAATCTGACTCTGAAAATTTTCAAACCTCGTCAATCTTTAATAGATCTAGAAACTTAATAGCAAACGATTAAAATACTTTGTATATTTTATAATTATCTTTTAATTCTTTGAAATACTCGTACTTTACTCTGTACATTTTCAAACCGACAGGAAGGCTGATAGAGGATTGAAGTTACATCAGTTTGTTGGGGCTGATCAGTTGAAATAGATAGCATTATTTTAAATTCCAATAGATATAGCATCCAGCTTCATCTTCATGCTGTAAATAGAATAAATTTTTGTCTACAATAGCCAGCCGTCAGATCAACTTGCCATAGCGATGATGTCATTGCGAAGTTTTTAAAATCTAATATAGATTTTTTTCTATATTTTGGACTTGTGTTTGAAGCCAGGCTTTTTTAATGAGGATCATCAGGCTCTATTTCACAAAACCTGTCTTGCCTGTAAATTTTGTGTACAATTTTGGAAGAAACGTGAAAATTTTATTCACTGTGGTTTGAGCATAAAACATTGTAAAACGTCGGGATATAAATAATAAATATTGTAAAAACGTAGGGATAAATTAGTTTGAAAATGTAATCGCAATTTTGATACGTTTATTAACATTTTATTGCCATAACAAATCAAAATTTCCGTTTAATTTGTAACGAAGCTAACAAATGTTTTTTTTCGAGTTTCAGTAGTATTTTAATCAGTATTTCTTTAGTTCGTGATTTATAGCAATAGCAAGGAGACGACTTTTTTAAAACGAGGTTTTCGAATATCGGTCGTTATCTTTTTCCAACAACGCCAAGTTGACCAACTGGTCTGTTGTAAACTGGTCTGGACTGGTAATTCTTTCGTTGCTCGATGTATTAAACGTTGTTTTGAACCGCTCAGCGGATAACATTCCACTATCACAAACAAGTCGTCCTTTGAAACTATTTGAAGATTTTGCTATAATTATTATCTCTGGTATTAGCTATTATTACAATTTCATGTTGGAAGTGCCTGACTTCCTGGAATAGATCAAATGTCAAAGTAAATTAAAACTTTCATTCTAAGTTATTACATTCATTTATGGGAAATTTGTTCACAAAAGTAAAGAAGAATTTTAGTTCGGCATGACTCCTGCGTTAATAAAACATAAATGAAATTTGTAAGCCATCAGAAGCGAGGTAGTCCTGACGATTTAATCCTAACGGGAGCGCAGGAATTAATCAATTTTGACGGCGGATCAAACATTGATTGGTTTGTGTGAATGCCATCAAGAATGCCAGCCTCGCTACAGTAACCTGTTCGATGCCTTTACTGATTAGGCTGGTAATTGACGATATATTGCTGAACTCGGTCCTGTCTTTGCCGTTGTTCTAAATTGGACATGAATCGAGAAAAAAATTTTATTTTATCAGTTCTTCAGTTCGTCGTTTAGATTAAATATGAAAGTAAATTGAAGGCTTTCATTCTAAGCTATTTCATTCATATGACCCGGGACGAGGTATATGCAGGCAGAGTCGTAATGGAAGCAACACATTCGAGAAGAATAGTCCTAAAATTAATCGTAATAATCTTACAACTTAGCAATTCATTGAAACTATGATATAGAAGTATTCTGTGTATTATATTGCTGAAACGATGAGTGAAAACTCAGCTTGACAATAATTTTGAGAATTTTTTTTACAAATAAGAAACACAAAAAATAAAAATGCCTACAAACATGGAAGGCAATAGATAAGATTGTTGTCTCACTTTGCAAAATATTCAGTTCAATTTGCCCTCGTCACCATTGAAGCGCATGGTGATTAACTAGCGTCAGTGAAGGAGAATTTGGAATTGTTGATGAATTCGTAGAAAGCCAAAATTTGTAATGGCACCACAAGTTTTTCCGTACTTCCTAGCTTTCAAAAAATTCTAATTTTAGCCACGCATGTAAAATTTCATGGATTATTTGTGTATATGTAAACCAATTTTTTATATATCTTTTATCTTTATTTTAGTTACTATCTTTTTCATATATGTTACTTATCGTATCTGTCCAGCTTGAGGAAGAAGTCCAGCTAAGCGACTACGTGCGGCCGGTGTGTCTCGGTTCTCACCACAACTCGTCTCAACTCATGTCTCGCAACTGCCGAGCTCTGGGCTGGGGCACGAGACGTAAGTTTAGCCTTACAATGTTTAGGTCTCAAACGTGAGACTTAAAAATAAAAATTATTTAAACTGGAGGTATTTTATCGGCATATCGAAATCTTTCATCATGAAACGCATATTTTATCTGGTAAAAGATTTAACCGAGAAATAGATGCAGTTCAGGATGTATTCTAAATCCTGAGGTGCGTATTTTTTAGTGATTGTTTCAAACTATTTGGATACCATGAGAATGAAAATCTTTTTGAGTAATCTTGGTCTTCAGAATAATTAAAAAATTGCGGAGATAGTTATAGGAAATATGGATTTCCTCTTTCAGGAAATATTGAAGTATAAATCTATTCATAAGGCTTCACAGCGAGGTTTTCGCTGGGAAATTTTGGTCAAGCTTTCTGGGTCAACGCGGCAGCTCTGGACGCTGCCGGCCACCTCGATCTCGATCAAACCATGGCGGTTAACTGGGGTATCGCGCGCAATATTTTTTGAGCGCATTTCCGGGGCACTTCCTTTTAACGCCTGAAGCGGACCAGGTTAATGCAGACAAAACCTGCACCATCAAATTCCTTTATATAAATTTCTTCTATCCAAGTAGTTCGGTTTTGGTTCTTTGTCATCGAATAAACCGCTTAAGTGAGAATTATGACTCAAGGGGAAATTTTTATGTTAAATCGAAAGTTAATAATATGCGTTTAAAAATTACCTTTTAAAGACAACACTTCTGAACAATCCAGTGTATTGGATGTTGCACATGTACAATGAATTTCTAATTTTATTTTCAAATATTGAAAAGAAAAATTATTTTTCAAAATTTTTTTAAGATATCAAAATTATGTAAATTTTCAAAATTATTTATTCTGTCAATTGAATCACGCATTGTCTCTGACTTTGCAATTGTGCAAAATTTCAGATCAATTGGACAGGTCAAATTGTGTCATATATGGATTATAAGATTTGTAGCAGACGAAATTATTCTTTAATTTTTTTAATAATGAAAAAAAATTGTTGTTTTTTTTAATTTATAAAATTATTTATTCTGTCAATTGAATCATGCATTGTCTCCAACTTTACGCAAGTGTGCCAAATTTCAGATCGATTGGACAGGTAGAAGTGTNCGACGCCTACATTTTTTCTTCACAGTACTGACAGTAGCACACCCGAGAACTATGCACCTGTCTCTTATACACATCTTTATTGTGTCAATTGATTCATGCATTGTCTCCAACTTTACGCAAGTGTGCCAAATTTCAGATCGATTGGACAGGTAGAAGTGTGTTAAATATCGATTATAAGATTTGTAGCAGACAGACAGACAGACAAACAAACAAGAAGTGAAGTTAAAAAGAAGTCTTGTAAAAACGTGTTACTCGATTGCGACATAACGTGCTTTCAAAAAAATTTCTCCTTCGGATATGTTTTTCTCACCTGTGCATTAAATCAACGTTTATTGACGACGTATGTTAAAGTTCTCAAAGGTCACCATGCATTAGTTAAATGCGATAATATAAATCAACGTTAGACGTTTTCAGTAAGAAGCTTAGAGCTCTGCAGATATTAGGCCTTATGAGCAGCCGTATGTCTCCGGTCCTCACGGCGTCGTCGGAAAGAGCCTCGATATTTTAGGCAGGCCGCAACTGAAGGCCATTTTCGCAAAGGATGCTTCAAAGGGCCCGAGCTGAGCAACAAGTGCGGAGGGAGGTCGACGTTCCAATTCATTGATTGGTATCGGAAGTATCATTTTCTGCGAGCGTCAACTCAAAATTAATTAATCGCATGCCGCGAGTTTGCAGTTCGACTACCTTTATTTGAGATGCGATTGGGAGGCGTTGCCTTGAGAGTCTTGAACTCATAGAATTAAAGCCATGTTCGCTCCTAATTTGTTATTCATGAGCGATTTGGACGAAGATTGATAAGCTGAATATAATTTTACGCTTTCATTCGACGAGCCAGACTCAGATATGAACAACTAAACTGATTTTGAAACTCTGAACTGACAAACAACCGTTCAACAGATTGTCAAAAAAACTAAAGTGGTTGTCAAAGAAACTCTAATCTAATTGTATTAGTAAACCAACTTCATAGTTAGAAGGATGCTGCAATTGAGACATTGAAGTTTTTATCGGAGATTTGTCGCATGATTTGCCCTGGCTTCCTTTTTGTTCTAGAGCAAATCAATTTTCAATGTGTCACGCATGTGGAAAGTTCGGCCATTGCCCAATCATTTTCCTTATCCAACGATGCAGCCGCGACATAGAATTACAAAAACTCCAAAACTGGCCAACGAGTTTCCGATGTGAGAACTTTTGCGAACGCAACTCACGTCAGAAATGAGCTGTTGTTGACTTTTTAACTTTTTGGTTTTGAGTTTTCTCGACTAGAACCCTTTTATTTGTTCCGAAATATAGGTTTTACCCGTAGCTACGGATATCAAATAAAAAGAACTCTCTTAGTAGTTGCGAACATCCATAAAAAAATTACCCTCAATCTATTTTCGGCAAAAACTTAACATTTTATGGACATTCACCTAACCCATTTCTTACTTCAAAGTAAAAGTCCTCAACAGATGAGGCTGCACAAACATAAAGTCCTCAAAAGGCTGCACAAACATAACCTCGCTGTATGTTCCATCAATAACTCAAAAGGATGGTTTTTAGCTTTCCCTCGTGTTAATCTAATAATTTTATATCGAATAGTGGTGTTTGTTTGCTTTATTGTATGTCGGGAACAGACCTCGACACGCGCTTGTTCAACGTGAGCTGTGACGCCGGCACGGCGCTAAGAAAAGCAGTTTACAGCGAAAGTCGATCCCGAGAATGGCATTATAGCGACAATCCCGGCAAATAGCGCGGGCTTATCCTTAAGCAAATAAGACTACAATTCCCGGTAGGAAACGACACCGCAAACTGGCAAACGACTGACGTGCACATATTGCAGGCTATTAATTGGCAGTCGATGGACACTCGTGGCGCTATTGGTTGATGGACATGAATGACGCCGGTGGTCAAAAGACATTCGCGACACTATTGATTGATGGACATGAATGACGCCGATTGTCAATATAAATTTGTGACACAATTGATTGATGGACATGAATGACGCCGATTAGTTCTCATAAGCGTCATTCATAATCCACGAATGACGCCTATAAGAATTAAGCCAGAATAGCTAAATGTTGTCTGCCTGTTCCACATATGACCACTTTCATTATACTGTAATTTCATTGAAGTTTGCCATAGCCTGATAATGAGGTCGGACGTTCAACAACATTTTTAGTGGAGTGCTTCAACGGCCGAGCATAGGCGTACCTTGTATTGTATTCACTTATGCGCATTAATTCACTTCTAAACGCGCATGTGTGGAACTGTAGATGTCAAAGGCCTCTCAGATCTAGCGTCTTACTGAAGATCGATAAACGTTAAACTTGGACCAAAAGTTCTAGCAGAGACCATCTGGCCCTTGTGGAGCTATAAAATACGCCAAATCTTTTGCTAAGAACGCTGTAAATCTTTTAAGAATGTCACTGGATTCTGCAGGGAAGCTTTTGTGTGCGCACTAACATTGAAGTGTTAGTGGGGGAACGACTTTTGGAATGCTCGTGCCTAAGATGCGGAACTCTTGTAAATCCGGTATATACCAAGCAGTGATTTGTATATCGATTACTGCCATGAACCATGCAGTAATTTCCAAATCCAATATTGGCTGTACCATGCAATTTTTCCCATTTTGGATAGCAGGGACAGGGGTTGATTATAATAAGGGAAACACCTGACATTTGATATTGTATTTTTGAACATGTTGTAAACAATGAAAACTTGACATATTTTCAGGTTCATTGTTTTTATTGCTGTTAACTGATAGTTTATCCTTGCACAGATATTTTTAGTAAATTTATGTGTCCATAATCTAATCTACAACATATAAATGGCAAACCTCTCTGACTTTCAAATAGGCCAAATTGTTGGCGCCCATATGACAGATGCTAGTGTGACAGAAAGTTCCCGAATGCCTAACGTTTCTAGAGGTACTGTCTCAAAAGTAATGACTGCTTTTGAAAGAAAAGGAAAAACGTCCTCAACAAAGCACAGGTAGGTCTGGCCGAAAGTCGAAGTTGTCTGAGGGAAACCTAAATCGAAATAGTGAGGGACAATCGAAAGACCACGGCTGTTAAAATTACTGCAGAACCTAGAGAACCCAGTTTCCATAAAGATCGTCCGCCGAGAGCTGCACAGATCTGGATTCTATGGATGAGCAACAATTAGAAACCTCTGGTTTCAACTATAAATGCTTCAAAGCGTTTAAGGTGGTGCCAAAACCTCCAGAATTGATCTCTCAAGCAGTGGAAATAAACTATTCCCTCTGGAATCATCGTTTACCTTATTTCCAACCTCTGGCCGAGTTTACGTTTGCAGACAGATAAAGGAGTCATTTAATCCCGACTGCCTCCTCCCAACCGTAAAACTTGGTGGGGGGATCTGTGATGATCTGGGGTGCTATTAATTCATAATATCTGTGGCGAGGTTTGCTTGTTTGTTTCTCCCGTCATTGCATGTATTCTTTGAAAAAAACATAGTTTGAAGGAATGTAATAAATCACCGTCGTAACGATTTTTCCTCTTCATAATCTAATTCATATTATTTCAATTAGACACGTATATGGTGAAGGAATGATTGCTCCTTACTCGCTTTAGTGTTACCGCTATCTGAATCTAATAGATTTTCTATTAGCTTTACTTATTCTTTATGAAAATTTCATACAAAATGTATCATTGATTTATTTGATTAAAATGCGTTTTACCTGCAGCGAGGCACTCGTGCCGATGGGCGGCAGTCCCTGATCGTGATGAGTAGCCAATTTTAATGGCCGTCGCATGGCCGTCGCTTGACCATCACTGGCCTTCGCTTGGCCATCGCATGGCCGTCGCCTGGCCATCGCTTGACCATCACTGGTCTTCGCTTGGCCATCGCATGGCCGTCGCATGACCGTCGCTTGACCGTCGCATGATCGTTGCTTGG